GTTTGTGAAGTCAAAATACTAAATCCATAGTTTCGTATGGATTAGAAACTCAAATTACCGACATTGACAAGCTAAATATAAAATAAGAACCTCTTATCTTTTCTGTTTGCTAAGATATTGCTCATGTAATAAATCAAACACAGTAGCACCCCATCTACCTTTTTCCATTTTTGGAAATGCTTCTTTATATACATTTACTTCTATATATGACATGAATAACCAATCAAAAGCTCAGAATGTCCCCACAGTGGCTTTCTTGGCCATTTTAAAGGGATTGGATGCCATTTCTTTCATTTGAGCCAATAATTCAATGAGATAAGGTGTATATTTAGTCTACTCAAAATTTCATATTTTTTTAGACTAAAATACATCTTTGTTACTAAGCTTGATAAATTATAGTGGAATTCTGTGGTATTGATGTTTTAATTTAATTTATGATTTTTTTAGTTATTCAAATGTTTATATAAAACCTAAAAAATATATTTTGTTTCATATCTTCTACATGCAAAATTTTTAAAGGCAGCAACTAAGTACAAAGGTCATAACTAGAAGATAATTGTTTGCTTTACTTCTTTATTTACTGTTCTATGTTTTAAGAAAAATAAGATTAAGAACTTATTTCTAAATAACAATAATCTATATACATATATAATGTATAATAATTGAAATGTGAGTGTATTTTACAAAATACTAGTCTACTAAAACACAGCCAAGACAGGTTATTTTGTAAAGACCAAAGGTCAGTTCTTTGTCATTGGATACAGTAACAAGTGCACAAGTGCTTCGTCATTGTTAGCCAGGCATGGCTGAAAGGTCAATATAACAAAAATAATAAATATATATAAATGTATACTGTTATGAGATTTAAGCTATTTAGTCTAAACATTTATGTTTTTGTGTTATAATTTGTGTTCATTCTAGAATGAAAGAGGCATAATTTATATTTATTTCCTAATTTTTTATGGTGGTTATGAGATCAGTCAAATCTACCAAACCTGTACAGAGATTCATTACTGAAAATAATAGATAAAATACAAAGTGTTTTCTTAAGAATTGTTTGATAACTATCTTGACAAAATAAAGATTTCGCATGTGATATTTGAAATTTTTCTGATGCATAAAAGTATTTTTTATCTTAAAATGAAATTACTTTGCATGATAGATAAGCAACATGCAAAAAGAACAAAAAAGTATGAGAAAAACATTGCTTTACAAACCTTAAGACTTAATAAAAAAAAATTATATTTTGGGTATGAAAGCAATGTAATGTTTACTGATAATCTGACAAATTTTGTTAACATTTGCTTACTAATTTAAATATTATGGCATGAAAACTATAACAAGCACAAATTGGTTACAAGGTTGGTCTCAGAGATGATTACAGGGATGGAAGGATTTCTATAGGGGTAGGTTGAGATATCTGTATTTTCTTTTTATAGCAAAACATTATCTAATTGAAGTTTGAGATTATTCAAGGGACCTATAGCATAAAGCCTTTTTATTTCTTTGTGCTATTGTGTTCTAATAACAAGAAAGTGAGAGGACACAAGTTTAAGCTTTGGAAAAGAATTGACTGGTGTATGGAATGAGTTGCTATCATCAGAAGAAATGGCCTACAATTTACTATAAAGACTCATCTATGATGTCCCAAAAGTAAAAAACAAAACCAGCCCTCATCATTCAAATATTGGCCAAGACATCCCATAATGTTACTGTATCCACCACTTCTGAAGGCTACCTATTCCAAAAGCAAACTGCCCTGTTATAAACTGTCATAGCTGAAGATGATGCCTTTACTGCCAAAATTTATATTTGTGTTCCCTAGACCTACCAATTTCACCATTAAGTTCAAAAACAGATGATGCATTGACACTATCAATTCCCTAACAATTTTAAATACTTCGATCAAATCCTCTCTATTATTTTTTCAACAGAAAACAATTTCAGAGATCTCAACCTATCATCATATAACACTTTCCATCCAAGATGACATTGTTGTAGTAGTCCTCTGAACCCTTTCCAACAAATCTATGTCCTTACTAAATTAAGACACTCTAGACTGAACACAGTACTCCAAATGTGGCCTAACCAATGAATGACTTGTAAAATGAAATTATAATCTTTTTAGACCTATAGTCAATATTTCTGTAGATACAACCTAAAACCCTATTTACCATACCACTTTGCTTGGATGGCTTAAAAGACTTGTCAACCAGAATACCAAGATCTTCTGTTAAGGTTATTCCCATCAAAATTATACTCATAATTCAAAATCACAACATCCAGCATGCATTACCTTGCATTTATTGTAATTAAAAGTCACCTGCAGATTATTTCCCTGACTTCACCAAATAATATGAACACCTTTGGAAAGCATCCTCCTTCTCCTCACAGTTAGCATCATTCAAGACTTAATATCATCCACAAATATAAATTATAAGTAATTTGTTGAACATTCCTTCAATGTTATTTATAGAAATCAAAGAGAGCAAAAGTCCCAACACTGATGCTTCAGGAATCCCATTTATGGCATTAATCCAGTTTGACTGAACTTCCATTTATAACAACCTTCTGCTGTCTTCCATCAAGCCATTGTTGTATATAAAGAGCCCACACCAACATAGTTTTTTTTTGTTGTTGTCAATAAGCCTTTTAATTTTATGTGAACCTTGTCAAATGTTTTCTGAAAATCCAAAAACAACAAATCCACACTCTTATCCTAATCTACATAAGCCAGACCTTGACAAATCCTGGGCAGCAGGTCACCATGGCAATTAAAAATTTCTTTGTGGCATCTAGTATTTCCTTCCATTTTATTCATGCAAGCCTTATCATGCATGGCCTTATCAGTATGCATATTGATATTGCATGATTATTTTTATTTTACTTTCATTCCTTTCAAGAATCCACCTAAGTTATAGTTATTTAGTTTACTATTTTAATAATTGCACATATTGAAGTTTAACTTTAATATATGTGATATTATAAAGTTTAATAATTAACTCTTTGTTTTTTTAGTGTAAAACTGTATGTCTTGTACCATAATCACACAACCGACTCAAAATATATCCTATAACTTTTCTATATCGAACCTGGCTCTAAGTTTTTGGGATGGCTTTTAGATATGAAAATATTTGTTGAGGCCTGACATAAGTAGTAACTTCTTCAAAAACTATTAAAAGATTAATATGACAAGAATTTCTTCTAGTATAATCATATTGACTATTCAACATTTTAAACTTTGTTAAATGACATTACAAAGCATCTTATATCAGAATTTCAGAAACTTTTCCCATCAATGATGTAAGAGTAAATAGGCCTATAATTTACATGGACATATCTCTATCACCACTCTTGAAAACATGAGTCACATTAGCCAGCTTCCAATATTCTGGTACCTGCTCACTATTCAATAACTTACAGAAGATATTAGCAAGTGACCTAATCCAGTAGCCTTATCATTCTTTATAATTCCCAATCTTTCTTAACAATCTCAGAATTAATGTGATCATTTTGTTTGATTTGTTTTACACCTCAGAACTGTAAAGGATGAGGAATATTGCTTAAATCTTTATTATTAAAACTAAGAAAACCGAATGAAAAGTAAGACTTAGCAACTCAGCCATATTATAATTTTCAGAAATGAGCCTTTCTTTAGCATCCCTTAAAGGCTATACTCCAATCCTAATATTTTCCTTACCTTTATTTAAGAAATCCTTAATTCTCATTTTTACATTTTCATCTAATCTTTTAAAAGAGGGAATCAATAATTTCCTGAAAAATGAAACATAGGTTTTTACTTTTTCTCATGGATGGATGTGCAATGGTTGTCTTGAAATGCCAAATGGTTTCTCATTGTCCATGTGTTACATCTTACAATAATATTATTGTTAACAATAATATTTACTGTTAAAATATACTCAAATATTATAAGTACTTACTTTTCCATCCATTTGTGAACCATTTTTAAACAGGACCACTCTTTTCATCTTAAAATGATTTCAGTGTTCAAAATCAATGCCACTGCTTTCAGTTTTTACTTTTACTAAGTATTAGTTATACTTTCTGAACTTATCTGAGACTGAATTTCTGAAGCCTTGAAGTTGAACTTTGAAACTTATTCTTGACTACTTCTGTCTGATCTGTCTTTAATTAAGTTTATAATATTAAATTTTAAGTTTTCGTTTATAATTATCTTCAATCCTATTTCTGGTTTGGATATTCTTACTCTTACTGTCTTTGTCACTCACATCATTAACTTTATTAAATCAAAGGAAACGATCACTTTCTTCAGAAATGTTGAAATTATCAGTCATACAAGTTTTACTAGATTAAAAGTAAAACCAACACACCATGCATTGGCTAAAAAAGTGAAAAGTTGAACTTGAAATTGAAGTGATATGACACAAATCAAAATAATATATCCAATGGCAATGATTCTTAGCCTTACGAATTTGAAGTTGATTTGTGAAAACTTAGGCCAATGTTTAAATATAATAAACTATCATTTGTAATCGTATTCATAGTCATTTTATTTTTAATCAAATTTTGAATACACATGTATGTCGTATGCTTTAATAAACTAATTTCCTTACGCCAATATAACGACCTACTTCTGCTTTGTTAATTTCACCTTAATTACCTCATCAACAAGAACTTCCATTAACTTACACACTATACATAATACAATTAAATCTAAAACTGCAAGTTATATAACTAAAATTCCACTGTATAGTACACGTCTTATCTATTCAGCTGGCTTCTAACCGATTGTTGCGATCTCTCTCGGCAAAGCGCAATAATGTCCTAATTAAAATAAATAATATTGTAATACATATACTTGTGTACGGAAGTAAGTTATGCTAATACAATAGCAAATTGACAGTAGACGATTTATAAGCATAATAAGAATATTTTATGCTTAGAATATATTCTATATTTCAACGGAGCATTAGTCTTTTGTTTTAATTGGTTATGAAATCATGAATATTATGAAAACTGAAATGCTTAATCGAAAACACTCGGACTTCCCCGATCATTCGAGAAACTCATCACGCACGCTACCAGCGCCAGCAGCGTCACGTGACTTCCGTTGTTGTAACACTGCCCCTTCCTTAGTATTGTTCGTCTTGAACAATAGCCACTTACATTAAACCAATAAATAATTAACAATAACTTAATTAAATGTATAGAACTTACAAACACAAAACTAATATACAACAAAGTCTCTTAATTTTACAGGACGTTTCTTCTTTCTTACTGGTCTCCGTCTCATTGGCTTCTGCTTCACGTGGGTTCATCTGCTCCATCAAAAAATGTCCCATTATCGGTAGAAGTCACATTAGTGGTAGTAACTTCATTAACGGCTTCACTGTTTTCCCCTCTCAAAACCGGGTAAAGTTTCTTCTTCAGCATCATTTGTTCCGTTGTTCATTTTGTTAGAACTGAAATGTCCTGGACCGTGATAATGCTAAAGCCTGTTGGCATGCACCACCTTTGGCTTACCTCGCCGGCCACACTTTATTCGGA